AAAGGAAGAAACGCACTTGGTATTTCAACGAAAGATGAGCAAGATTTGAAAGGAAGAAACGCACTTGGTATTTCAACGAAAGATGAGCAAGATTTGAAAGGAAGAAACGCACTTGGTATTTCAACGAAAGATGAGCAAGATTTGAAAGGAAGAAACGCACTTGGTATTTCAACGAAAGATGAGCAAGATTTGAAAGGAAGAAACGCACTTGGTATTTCAATGGAAGATGAGCAAAGCATAACCAATAGTCGAATTGTTGCTAATTCACAAGATGATGACGAAAGAAAGAAAATTGAAGAAAACTCCATGACTGGAATTAAAGGAGGTCGGTACCGATGTAATAAAACCGAATTTTATTCATTTATTATAGAATAAAATCACTTCGGTTTTAATTATTTATACGATAATTACTATTTACTTCCATTTATAACTATTAAATAACTCTAATAAATACGTTTTTTCGAAATTTCTAAATGTATTACAAAATTTTGACCCTTCTTTTGAGTAAAACGGGTAAAATTCTACTTATAATATATTGAGATATAATTTTAATTTTAAATATTTGCAGTTTGACTCCGAGGTGGACCGATTATCGGCGATCTTCCGGTTTCACTTCTTTAATATCTGTTGGATCGTCTGAAAAGATTTGTAATTTGAATATTCAAATGTTAATAAAGAACATTTGAACTCAAGAATATTCTGGCTTTCTTTTATTATGATTTGATCCTTGTTATTGCATCTCGAATTGGAAATTGGTACCAAAATCCTTCGGATTGTGTCGTATTAACTGAATTGCGACTGTTAAGTCCGTACGCGAGCGGTCACAAACGGGAATGGTCGGGTTCAAGATGGAGGAGGGAGTAGTGCAGGAAATGACGCACTTTACTACGCATTTAAACGTTAACCCGTCGTCACGCGCATGCGCAGTCAAATATAAATTGAACACCCGTTTATTGTCCTAGAAATACGCCGATGTGTGTTTTTACTTCTACTGGAGTTTACGCTTTTATTTCAACTTCGACCACTTCGGTTACACGAAGGTGGGGGAGACGTGATGCACAATTAATTAAATAATAAATTTAATTAATTAATTAATTTTACAATTAATTAAATATTATCGAAAATGCTAATCTATAAGTACTGAACATTGTGTTTTACAATATTATTGTGAACAGATGTGGTTAGTTATTTTATAAACATATTTATTATTTTAATTTTTATTAATTATTTAATTTGATGCGACGTGACGCGACATTTTAATAAACGAAATGAATTAATTTACATATTACATTCGCCTCGCATTTTTATATTCTAAAAATTAGAAAAATACAAAAATTATATGGGACATGGTGTCATAAAAGTTTGGTATTTTTAAATCATTTTATAATGTAAAAGTTAACTCTTTCCACCCTGCGGGCACTCTTTTAGCGAGCCTATTAGGCCCACACTGGGGTGGCCGGCTGGGCCGACATATCCGGACAGACCACCCCCGAAAAGTTTCTGGGGATTTTTTGACTTCTCCGATCCCGGGTCCGCAAAACTAATTCTAAATTTCCATCGTCGAAAACGAGTTTTAGAAATGTTACGCATGAATTATAGCTTGTTTATTATTTTATAACATTTTCCCCCAAAAAATGGTGCTACGTGTAAAGGCAGCAAATCGAATGTAGACAGAGATTAATTAATTTATGGAAATTCAATAAATTTTTTGAGATAAGATGTACGACATTGCCCAAATTAGAAGTATGTGAGTGTAATTGCAGACTTTGGTAGCAATCGATCGAACTGCCTAGGAGTGTACAGCGAACAAACAAACAAACATTTTTATTTGTATATAAACTAGTATATCTAGTCTACCATAGCCCATTTAGTCGCCATTCAAAATCATCGATTGGTGTTTCCACTTTCCAGGATTTTCATCCTGGAAAGTGAAAACGCCACTTGATTTCTGCCACCGTTTTCCAGAATCCCCTAGGCCCTAGGGGATTCTGGAAAACGGTGTTTGTGTTACGTGACGGTGTTGTTTACAGATGTGACCCATGATATGTAAATGAATGAATACGATGAACAAATTAGATAATTATTCAAATTTGAATGTTATCGTGAGGGGTGTTTGTAAGGAAGCGCTGTAATGAATATAAGCAAAAATAAAATTTTCAATTTATGAAATACTCGCTAACAGATGCATTAAATAATATGTAAAGTATTGTACTTATCTTATGCTGAGTATGCCGTGATCAAGATGGTGATAACTTTTGGGCGAGGTCTGGTAATTGCAATTGAACTGATGCAGATGGAAAATGAAATTTGTGATACATTTACTTCTAAGTATTAACTACTTCTGTACTAATTAATGTGATATCAATCATTTATTTGTACCAATGTGTCACGGACTGTCCCCGGGTTCCACGCCAGATACTTACAATGAAGGCGTGTTCCCGGGTACAAGAATATTCTTCTGAAGTGTAGCAACGACGACTCGAAAGTATTAAGAAATGATTCATGTATTAATTAACTCGACATCTGGCCTTCGATAATCCTGGCTATATAAAATATTCTCGTTCTGGATATGCCAGGTTGTCTCTCACTATCTGGACGTTCCCATTATGGGCATGGAAGTAAAGACCTTTTTAGTGCTCACAGAGTGCAAGAGTCAAAAATGAAAAAAAATAATTTCCTATCAAGAGGTTTTTATTTAGTTTCATAATTTATTGGAGAACCATCCTTCTATGCTTAATTGAAAAGTTTTTAAAACATTTAAAACAGTGGGAAACATTTTTACTGATAAAGAACAAGAATAGAAGGGCATCCATTTTGCAGTCTACGCGCCTAATATACAGAATTGTATGTACAATCGGATCGCCAAGAGGCAAACGTGGCGGTTCACCGCTCTGGAAGACCCAGGACCAAATTCGTACGGATCGAGAAATCACAGATTATTCGGGGGCCGTCTGGATACGTCAGATCCCGTTTTTCATTACCCGGCCGCTTCATTATGGGCCTGGCCGAACCCATAATAGGGTTGATAAAAAAAGCCCTCTTAGTGTCAATATAGAGAAAGGAGATTTTTAAACTCTCTCCGTCCTGCGGGCACTAAGAGGGCCACTTATAGCAAACCCATTATGGGTTCGGCAAGGCCCTTTATTCCTTCTGATAGAGGAGTGTATTGCTATTCGCTTTAACTCCTGAAGGGAAGAAGAGACAGCAGATGGATCGCATAGCTACGGAAGAGTCGGCCTTATAGAAGACGGCCAGAAGAGACACGAAGGGGGAGAGAATGCCTTCCGAGAGGACTTTGATGGGGATGTGGCCCTATTTAGGCGTCATCTGCAAGGAGGAAACCTGGAAAAACTCCAAGCTGCCAGCCTTGTCAGATCGAGGCGCGAACCCACAACCGAACGCGTGTTTAGGGTCTGGTCACCGCCGCTAAGAGCGGAGACGGAGTCCACTCGGCCACTGGTGGGCACTTCGGCAAGGCCCACAATGGGGCGGTCAGTCGGTGAGGGACGGTTCATCCCCCTCCCCTCTCACAGAATGATACCGCATTCATCATTGCTTATAGCTAGAATAATAACCGTAATCTTAAAAAGATTAAATAAATTTTTAAAAATGTTAATATTGAAATTAATATTGAAAATTTACACCAATGGGAAAATCTAAAGTGATTTCGCTTGGCAGCACTGAATAATTTGAGCAGAAAGAAAATGGCGCCGGACGTTTGTCGTGGAAACAAAATTAGGTATAAATAACGAATGTAAATAATTATTTTGAGAAAGCCGGGTAGAAATTTATGGATAAGAGCAAATATTTAAAGCGTAAGAAACCGTAATAATACTATCGAGATTTTTTCGTTACGAAATTATACAAAATAATATACATATATACATGTTTTATTTCCTACGGTGGCATTTCCGGTTGCCATCTTGTTTGTGAACGTGACGTCCACAAACAGGATGGTGACCAGCCCACCCTCAAACTGCTCATTGCTAAATTCAACAGTGCAACAGCTGCACACATCTGTGTAGTAATTTTACAATACCAAATGCTACAGCAATGTAGAAACAACACGGCATATATACAATTGGCTATAATCTCAATGTTCGACGAGTTATTTAATGTTAATAATGTAAACGTAGTATTGCCATAATTCTTTGATGGAAGATAATGACGTTTACTTAATTAACTAGAATGCAAAAATTAAGCTTAATACTCGATTAAACTTAACAAGAGTAGTCATCAACAAACTTTTAAATTCTTATGTATTCATTTTTTTTTTATTATTATTTAACAGATTGGAAGTAACATTAACATTATAATCAAGAATTATCAATCATCACGAGTCCATCCATCCTGATATAGTGAAAAAGCACCTGAGGCTGCTGTAAATTATACTTTCAAACTGGACATTTGCTTTATATACAACAATCTTATTAGTAACAATTTTGCTTTAAGCTTCCTGCAGTCGCTGAAGCACTGCTGAATTTAACAATGATCCGTAGCTACACCGGCATTCAAATAAAACAAATTTTAATCACTGTTGACATATTTCTAATTTCGTTTCTTTCATTTTCAATCGGTAAAGAATTAGATGAATGGGGTTGAACTGATTGTTTTGTAGATTCAACATTCTTGATAGATATTTTTACATTTTCTTAACACTCCTGTCAACAAGCTTCCTCTTATAATGTTCAGATTTCTTGGGGGTAATTTTTGGGGTTGAAGAAACTCAAAAAGCCAGTGTACCAGTACTACTATCTATTCTCCATATTCTGCATCGTCAAGGTTTGCTATCGCTTGCCTGGACCAATGCTCCGCGTGTAGTTCTGCACTTTGGTGAGAGTGATGTGAGCAACTTGGCGCCTGGGGTGGGACGAAACCCACATCCTCCTAAAACTATATAACATCAAGTACTCCATGAACAATCAAGTTGGCTATTCAAAGCCAGCATAGTTGTTTGTGCTAAATAATTAAACATATAGTCTTAACAGCATGATGTGATTTCGGGTTGCTATAACATACTACCTAAAATGTGAAATGGTTTGAACCTAATTTAGAAACCAGAGTACATATAATAGTGTTAGATGATTGCAACATCTATTATAACTATTCTAAGACTCATGTTTAGATTCTGAAAGTACTGCCATAGGGACTCCATAAGTAAAATGCAACCATACTGTATAATGCACATTGAAATCTTCATATTGTGATCCTATCCTGGATGCATCATTGCTTATACCTAAAATAATAATAACCTGCATCATAAGAAAATGTTTAATATTAATTTGAATGTTAACATTTATATACACATACAATAAAATATATATATGGAAAAAAAAAGAGTTTGTTTTCCTTTTAATGTGCATGTCTCTTTGCCTTGGTATATTAAGTCTGATAGGGTCTTAGAGCCATAATACAAATAATATTGAACAATCAGACAAGGCATTTCAAAACATTTTGAAGAAAATGATACAAAGTGATTACATTTCAGTCAAAAAATAAATGAATGAAAATGGAATTGTGTACATTTATCATTATTGTTTTTTTATTTGACTTTTCAATAAAAATAAAGAAGTGTACATTATTTGTTATTTTTAAGGAAATTTTTAGTATTTTAATTTTTTTAAATGACACTCCATGAATAAGTATTCTGGTTCATATAGTAAAATATATTTAACAAGTAAAACTTCAGTATGCATGTCAACACCAAACAAGGAATTATTTATTGTGACATTGTCACAATGCCAGACTGCAATTTTTAATAAATTTAATATAAAATATATGCTCTTCACTCAAATTAGTAATGTCTTGCCCCTGTACATCATACTTTTCCTGTTAGCAATAGAGTCATGCTGATCATCTAACACCTTTCAGGGGAAATTTTTGAATTGAAATATCATGACTTCTGATTTGCATTGGAAGTTCTTATGTAGTTAATCAGGGCTTCTTATCCCTAAGGCTTCCATATCTGGTTTCATCTTTCATATAATTGTTTATGAAATTAAGGAAAGACGGATGGAAGGACAACATTGGGAATTTATAGGTCTACAATTTTTTCAAACTGCAGCCCAAAAACAATGTTGTCCTCCTCAGCTGGTTGATTAATTTACAATCTTTTTAACTGATGCAACACTAATATAATGGTGCTGTTTGTCAGTTAAAAAGATAGTAAATTAAAAACCAGCTGATAAGGAGAACATTGTTTTTTGTTGCTAAAATGCATACTGAAGTTTTAATTGCTGAATGAACATAGGCTAATATGATGAATCTATTGTTGGTTGTTTTGAACTAAATGTTTAATTAATTAAGTATTGGTATACAGGTATCCCTTGATTATAGTGGTTAATTAATCCCATAATACTATCACATATATCAAAATCACATTAATCAAATACAGTATATATATATATTAAGTAAAGACAGCTGTTAAAGCCACGTTAATTAAAACTTTTTCTACATATATAAAAGTATTGTCACAATCAATTTTGTGTTAATCAAATCCCGCATTAAGCAAGAGATACCTATATTTACATTTCAAATAGAAGTTACTTTTAGTTAATTTGTATATATTTTTATACATACACAAATTACCTAAAAGTGTCCTCTACTATAGTTTAGTTATTAGCATCATTACTCAAAATTTTTCATTTGATTTTTAATTTTTATTTTAAAATATGAATTATTCTGAGCCTTGTTTTTTAAACAATGGAAATTTAGAAAAATATTAAAACACCACACACAAAATATTTTCTGTTCCAAAATTTTTGAATGTTTTTTAATTGGATATACAGAATAAAAACAAGTACAGCCCCACCTTAGAGTCAATATACTGGTTCCTCAGCTACCAATAGCTCTAATGCTATGAAAGTGGTGTAATAAATATTTGTTAATTCTAAAGCTGGAACTATATTCTAAATACTAAAATTCACACCTTCCTGTCACTTTCCATCAATTTACTAATTAAAAAATATTTCTGCTATTTTGAGCATTGCAATCACTTTGCAGCATAAGTTTGGTTTGAGCATAGCCATAGTCAATCATAAACATTAGAAATTCTTCTAATATATGAAATTTTCTTGTTTTTAACCCAGATATTTCTTTTGTCCTTTTTAAAAGACTACTTACAAATACTATCTAATTCAGTTTTGAACAATATTTATTTATAAACTAACAGATAAGCCCGGCGTTGCTTGGGCAAAAAGTAATGATAGCAAAGATTAAGATTATTACATTATAGCCAATCTTACCCATTTTCACTGAATGGAAGAATTAGGTTCCCCCAGACTAATTAGAAAATTTTTAGATGGGTCTAAAAATATGTTCGATTTCTTGTATAAATGCAAAAACCTCATCTGCACTTGTAAATCTTGCATGTCGCTTTCTCTTAACACTTCCATTGTTAACACTTCCATTGCTCAAGCCTTTCCTCAAGGGGAAAATTTTGAAAAATCCCTTCTTAGTGTTTGTTCTCATGATGTACCCTAACTATGTACCAAATTTCAAGTTTCAACTCCTAACCACACTGAAATTCTCACGATGAAATGCTCATATACACACGCACTGCCTATTGTAGGATAAATGTACTATGCCAGAAACCTTCACGGAAGTGTATTAAACAACTTCCCAAAGTTTCATGGCAATCGGATAAATGGTATAGTAATGCATGAAGGATACACAGACATACATTTGTTTTTATATATATAGATATGTTGTTAATGATTTTTCTGGATTTTGCTCATCTGAATCAGACTCTGTCCTGTTTGAGACAAATAAATGGGATTCCCCTGTATTATTCTCTATTCATAGGTGAAAACAGTTACAAATTTATTGCCAGGAGACTGTTTCACCACCAATCTGTCACATTTTAAATGGAAATAAAAAATGTACTGTTTGTAAAACAAAATAAGATATGAAATACGAAGCAAAGTCATGAAGTTTTATTGAAAAATTCAAAAAGTTCTACATAAGTTATATTTGTTTCACAAAGAACATCTAATCAACAGTTCATTTTCCACCATGTTCACTGAAAGAACATGATGAGAAATGAACTACCAACTGGATATTCTTAGATGAAACAGTATCCTGTATGCATATAAAATTTCTGGAGGACACAGATTCTGTTCCCTTGACATATCCTCAAAGAAAGTAATCCAATAGTGTAATCATCAAGAAAACTAAGAGTGCCATTCCTTTCTCCATCCTCTGTAGTAAAACAGAATGATCAGTACAGTAGAACCTCGATTATCCGCCCCCCAATCAACCGACCCCTCGGTTAACCAACTGTCCTAGTCGGCAAATTTCAAATGTCCGCTAGTGATGTGGCGCTACAATATTTGGCTATGTCTTGGCTACTTTAATATTATTTTAACGTGTTTTAGCTGGCAACACTCATTCGACCATGAAAGGGAGCCAGTATTTAAACGAAGCTTAATTTTCTAATTTTTAACGATACAATAGCGACGATTATTATTTTAAAAAATTTTTGTTAGGCTTAACATCGATGAAAATTCAACGCAAAGTAGGTTAATAGCGATATACTAATATACTAATTACATAGGATATAATAATATACTACTAATATACTACACTAATAATGGATTTTTTCATACTTTTCGGTTATCCGACCAACCCCAGTCCCCAATTGGGTCGGATAATCGAGGCTCTACTGTACTCATTTTGCCGTCTCTTATTCTCGATTTATCTAACTCGGCTGCTTTAATAGAAACATCAAGCTTATAGCCCGATAATTCGGCAGTTCGTTTGTATTTAATAATCGGGTTTATGAAGAAAAACTTCATACTTGCAGAGTGTACTCGTTTGTATCCTTGCCCGATTTGCACACCCTGGCGTTATGCAGTTATCGAAGCTACTGGGCGTGGTAAAAATTAAGACCACCCGGGCCACCGAAAGGCTATACTCATTGTGAGTTCGGACAGGCTTAGAATTAGGCGATGAATTGGTGAGGAATGTGCAAAGGCGCACATAACAAACTGTTGCCGTAGACACGTAACACGCGGCCCTTTAGAGCCCGGTGTAATATGTCCAGAGCTTAGATCTTCGCCTTTATACGTATCTATATTTGATGGAGGAAGACCCTGTTATTTGCCATAAAATTAACAGAATAATGCAACGCAGGTGAGGGAAGAGATGACTTTTGGAAGACCTTTGTACGGATAACTGGCCGCTATTTAGGCATTAGACACTCGAATAACACCAGGAGAAACTATGACTAGTGTTCAGTGGTTTTGTCCATTGGACAACTGGTGAACTCGATGTATTATAACTTTCAACCACAACAAGTATTTACATCGCGCAACACTTCGTGCGCGATGTAAATATCTTACATCGCGCACGAAGTGTTTTGTTGCAATTCTAATTTTTAAATAATTTTTGATGTTTTAAACACGCGTATGAAAAATTTTGACCAATGTGCTTGGGAATTTTTTTCTGCGTCTTCCATTTTCTCACAAGTACGGTCAGAAATATTCTACCAGTAGCCGTGTTTGCAGCATGGAATCGTGTCAGTTACTGAAGTAAAATATGTAAATTTAAATAAGCATTCACGGGATTGGACATTTTTAACGTTCCCATTCGCAGCATCATCGTTCGATCGACATCCAGCTGTCACGCAACCAATGAAATTACGACGAATTGCATATTTTTCTTATAAAAAGACGTGAGAATTGCGTGTTTTCAGCATTCGGTGGACCAAGACCTTCAGGAAGAACCGGAAGTAGAACTAAACTAACAACCGAAGATGTACAAGTTCCTATTTACATTCGTCATTATTGGTAAGTAACGTTTATAAAGTATCTTCTGACCGGTAAGTTTGCAGATGTGAATGACGCTGTTGGGATCTTAACAGAGCTATCGAGCATGCCCATAGGAGCAAAAAAGTCAAAGGAACAGTACCTCTAAATGTGACTCTTCACGAGATACAGTTCTCGAAATCAGCGATAAAGTCTATTTCCAAGCGCTATAGGAAATCACGCTGCGTGCTCCGCAAAGCTCATCGCGCGTTTATTAACAGTGAGTACAGCGCAGTGATTAGTGCTTATAACAGGAAATAAATGCATTAACTTCTACCGACCGAAAACAGTTTTTACTTCGAACCAGTATTGCCTATACTCCATGCTATGCGTCGTCAAGGAGAGCTTTGACCTACACTTCCATTTAGTAGTACGCTTCACTGCTGGCTATCGTGGCCCTCGGTGCCAGGATGGGGGCGAATCCCCACACCGTCTAAAACTATAAAACATCAAGTACTCTACGAATAGTCAAGTGGACTACTTGTAGTCGCCTGAGCTAAATAGCAGTCCGCGGCACGAGGATCCGCGAAATCAGCCGCACGCGATCCTGGCTATGGTCTGCGGCTGATTAAGGGGGCTACATCTTGACAACAGTCACATTTAGAGGTATTCTTCCTTTGACATTTTTGCTCCTACGGGCATGCTCTATAACTCTGTTAAGATCCCAACAGCACCATACACATCTCCAACTGTACTTTTTTGACATACTTTAGACTAATTTTGTGTATTCGGACCCGTAGCAATCGACATTTGTAACGGTAATTTTTCCCGAAAACTTTCTTGTAAGAAGTATTTGTAGAAAATAATCTGCAAATTCGCTATTTTTAAACGTTTTCTTTGTGGCTGCTCTTCACAGTTTAGCTTTATTTGACAGTAAATTGAATTAAGAGAGAACTATTTTTTTCAGGAATTATTTTGTTAGAAAGTAGCGAAGGTCGATATATGAAAGTCGTAGGACGTGATCGATCCGATTTGAAAGGAAGAAACGCACTTGGTATTTCAGTGAAAGATGAGCAAGATTTGAAAGGAAGAAACGCACTTGGTATTTCAACGAAAGATGAGCAAGATTTGAAAGGAAGAAACGCACTTGGTATTTCAATGGAAGATGAGCAAAGCATAACCAATAGTCGAATTGTTGCTAATTCACAAGATGATGACGAAAGAAAGAAAATTGAAGAAAACTCCATGACTGGAATTAAAGGAGGTCGGTACCGATGTAATAAAACCGAATTTTATTCATTTATTATAGAATAAAATCACTTCGGTTTTAATTATTTATACGATAATTACTATTTACTTCCATTTATAACTATTAAATAACTCTAATAAATACGTTTTTTCGAAATTTCTAAATGTATTACAAAATTTTGACCCTTCTTTTGAGTAAAACGGGTAAAATTCTACTTATAATATATTGAGATATAATTTTAATTTTAAATATTTGCAGTTTGACTCCGAGGTGGACCGATTATCGGCGATCTTCCGGTTTCACTTCTTTAATATCTGTTGGATCGTCTGAAAAGATTTGTAATTTGAATATTCAAATGTTAATAAAGAACATTTGAACTCAAGAATATTCTGGCTTTCTTTTATTATGATTTGATCCTTGTTATTGCATCTCGAATTGGAAATTGGTACCAAAATCCTTCGGATTGTGTCGTATTAACTGAATTGCGACTGTTAAGTCCGTACGCGAGCGGTCACAAACGGGAATGGTCGGGTTCAAGATGGAGGAGGGAGTAGTGCAGGAAATGACGCACTTTACTACGCATTTAAACGTTAACCCGTCGTCACGCGCATGCGCAGTCAAATATAAATTGAACACCCGTTTATTGTCCTAGAAATACGCCGATGTGTGTTTTTACTTCTACTGGAGTTTACGCTTTTATTTCAACTTCGACCACTTCGGTTACACGAAGGTGGGGGAGACGTGATGCACAATTAATTAAATAATAAATTTAATTAATTAATTAATTTTACAATTAATTAAATATTATCGAAAATGCTAATCTATAAGTACTGAACATTGTGTTTTACAATATTATTGTGAACAGATGTGGTTAGTTATTTTATAAACATATTTATTATTTTAATTTTTATTAATTATTTAATTTGATGCGACGTGACGCGACATTTTAATAAACGAAATGAATTAATTTACATATTACATTCGCCTCGCATTTTTATATTCTAAAAATTAGAAAAATACAAAAATTATATGGGACATGGTGTCATAAAAGTTTGGTATTTTTAAATCATTTTATAATGTAAAAGTTAACTCTTTCCACCCTGCGGGCACTCTTTTAGCGAGCCTATTAGGCCCACACTGGGGTGGCCGGCTGGGCCGACATATCCGGACAGACCACCCCCGAAAAGTTTCTGGGGATTTTTTGACTTCTCCGATCCCGGGTCCGCAAAACTAATTCTAAATTTCCATCGTCGAAAACGAGTTTTAGAAATGTTACGCATGAATTATAGCTTGTTTATTATTTTATAACATTTTCCCCCAAAAAATGGTGCTACGTGTAAAGGCAGCAAATCGAATGTAGACAGAGATTAATTAATTTATGGAAATTCAATAAATTTTTTGAGATAAGATGTACGACATTGCCCAAATTAGAAGTATGTGAGTGTAATTGCAGACTTTGGTAGCAATCGATCGAACTGCCTAGGAGTGTACAGCGAACAAACAAACAAACATTTTTATTTGTATATAAACTAGTATATCTAGTCTACCATAGCCCATTTAGTCGCCATTCAAAATCATCGATTGGTGTTTCCACTTTCCAGGATTTTCATCCTGGAAAGTGAAAACGCCACTTGATTTCTGCCACCGTTTTCCAGAATCCCCTAGGCCCTAGGGGATTCTGGAAAACGGTGTTTGTGTTACGTGACGGTGTTGTTTACAGATGTGACCCATGATATGTAAATGAATGAATACGATGAACAAATTAGATAATTATTCAAATTTGAATGTTATCGTGAGGGGTGTTTGTAAGGAAGCGCTGTAATGAATATAAGCAAAAATAAAATTTTCAATTTATGAAATACTCGCTAACAGATGCATTAAATAATATGTAAAGTATTGTACTTATCTTATGCTGAGTATGCCGTGATCAAGATGGTGATAACTTTTGGGCGAGGTCTGGTAATTGCAATTGAACTGATGCAGATGGAAAATGAAATTTGTGATACATTTACTTCTAAGTATTAACTACTTCTGTACTAATTAATGTGATATCAATCATTTATTTGTACCAATGTGTCACGGACTGTCCCCGGGTTCCACGCCAGATACTTACAATGAAGGCGTGTTCCCGGGTACAAGAATATTCTTCTGAAGTGTAGCAACGACGACTCGAAAGTATTAAGAAATGATTCATGTATTAATTAACTCGACATCTGGCCTTCGATAATCCTGGCTATATAAAATATTCTCGTTCTGGATATGCCAGGTTGTCTCTCACTATCTGGACGTTCCCATTATGGGCATGGAAGTAAAGACCTTTTTAGTGCTCACAGAGTGCAAGAGTCAAAAATGAAAAAAAATAATTTCCTATCAAGAGGTTTTTATTTAGTTTCATAATTTATTGGAGAACCATCCTTCTATGCTTAATTGAAAAGTTTTTAAAACATTTAAAACAGTGGGAAACATTTTTACTGATAAAGAACAAGAATAGAAGGGCATCCATTTTGCAGTCTACGCGCCTAATATACAGAATTGTATGTACAATCGGATCGCCAAGAGGCAAACGTGGCGGTTCACCGCTCTGGAAGACCCAGGACCAAATTCGTACGGATCGAGAAATCACAGATTATTCGGGGGCCGTCTGGATACGTCAGATCCCGTTTTTCATTACCCGGCCGCTTCATTATGGGCCTGGCCGAACCCATAATAGGGTTGATAAAAAAAGCCCTCTTAGTGTCAATATAGAGAAAGGAGATTTTTAAACTCTCTCCGTCCTGCGGGCACTAAGAGGGCCACTTATAGCAAACCCATTATGGGTTCGGCAAGGCCCTTTATTCCTTCTGATAGAGGAGTGTATTGCTATTCGCTTTAACTCCTGAAGGGAAGAAGAGACAGCAGATGGATCGCATAGCTACGGAAGAGTCGGCCTTATAGAAGACGGCCAGAAGAGACACGAAGGGGGAGAGAATGCCTTCCGAGAGGACTTTGATGGGGATGTGGCCCTATTTAGGCGTCATCTGCAAGGAGGAAACCTGGAAAAACTCCAAGCTGCCAGCCTTGTCAGATCGAGGCGCGAACCCACAACCGAACGCGTGTTTAGGGTCTGGTCACCGCCGCTAAGAGCGGAGACGGAGTCCACTCGGCCACTGGTGGGCACTTCGGCAAGGCCCACAATGGGGCGGTCAGTCGGTGAGGGACGGTTCATCCCCCTCCCCTCTCACAGAATGATACCGCATTCATCATTGCTTATAGCTAGAATAATAACCGTAATCTTAAAAAGATTAAATAAATTTTTAAAAATGTTAATATTGAAATTAATATTGAAAATTTACACCAATGGGAAAATCTAAAGTGATTTCGCTTGGCAGCACTGAATAATTTGAGCAGAAAGAAAATGGCGCCGGACGTTTGTCGTGGAAACAAAATTAGGTATAAATAACGAATGTAAATAATTATTTTGAGAAAGCCGGGTAGAAATTTATGGATAAGAGCAAATATTTAAAGCGTAAGAAACCGTAATAATACTATCGAGATTTTTTCGTTACGAAATTATACAAAATAATATACATATATACATGTTTTATTTCCTACGGTGGCATTTCCGGTTGCCATCTTGTTTGTGAACGTGACGTCCACAAACAGGATGGTGACCAGCCCACCCTCAAACTGCTCATTGCTAAATTCAACAGTGCAACAGCTGCACACATCTGTGTAGTAATTTTACAATACCAAATGCTACAGCAATGTAGAAACAACACGGCATATATACAATTGGCTATAATCTCAATGTTCGACGAGTTATTTAATGTTAATAATGTAAACGTAGTATTGCCATAATTCTTTGATGGAAGATAATGACGTTTACTTAATTAACTAGAATGCAAAAATTAAGCTTAATACTCGATTAAACTTAACAAGAGTAGTCATCAACAAACTTTTAAATTCTTATGTATTCATTTTTTTTTTATTATTATTTAACAGATTGGAAGTAACATTAACATTATAATCAAGAATTATCAATCATCACGAGTCCATCCATCCTGATATAGTGAAAAAGCACCTGAGGCTGCTGTAAATTATACTTTCAAACTGGACATTTGCTTTATATACAACAATCTTATTAGTAACAATTTTGCTTTAAGCTTCCTGCAGTCGCTGAAGCACTGCTGAATTTAACAATGATCCGTAGCTACACCGGCATTCAAATAAAACAAATTTTAATCACTGTTGACATATTTCTAATTTCGTTTCTTTCATTTTCAATCGGTAAAGAATTAGATGAATGGGGTTGAACTGATTGTTTTGTAGATTCAACATTCTTGATAGATATTTTTACATTTTCTTAACACTCCTGTCAACAAGCTTCCTCTTATAATGTTCAGATTTCTTGGGGGTAATTTTTGGGGTTGAAGAAACTCAAAAAGCCAGTGTACCAGTACTACTATCTATTCTCCATATTCTGCATCGTCAAGGTTTGCTATCGCTTGCCTGGACCAATGCTCCGCGTGTAGTTCTGCACTTTGGTGAGAGTGATGTGAGCAACTTGGCGCCTGGGGTGGGACGAAACCCACATCCTCCTAAAACTATATAACATCAAGTACTCCATGAACAATCAAGTTGGCTATTCAAAGCCAGCATAGTTGTTTGTGCTAAATAATTAAACATATAGTCTTAACAGCATGATGTGATTTCGGGTTGCTATAACATACTACCTAAAATGTGAAATGGTTTGAACCTAATTTAGAAACCAGAGTACATATAATAGTGTTAGATGATTGCAACATCTATTATAACTATTCTAAGACTCATGTTTAGATTCTGAAAGTACTGCCATAGGGACTCCATAAGTAAAATGCAACCATACTGTATAATGCACATTGAAATCTTCATATTGTGATCCTATCCTGGATGCATCATTGCTTATACCTAAAATAATAATAACCTGCATCATAAGAAAATGTTTAATATTAATTTGAATGTTAACATTTATATACACATACAATAAAATATATATATGGAAAAAAAAAGAGTTTGTTTTCCTTTTAATGTGCATGTCTCTTTGCCTTGGTATATTAAGTCTGATAGGGTCTTAGAGCCATAATACAAATAATATTGAACAATCAGACAAGGCATTTCAAAACATTTTGAAGAAAATGATACAAAGTGATTACATTTCAGTCAAAAAATAAATGAATGAAAATGGAATTGTGTACATTTATCATTATTGTTTTTTTATTTGACTTTTCAATAAAAATAAAGAAGTGTACATTATTTGTTATTTTTAAGGAAATTTTTAGTATTTTAATTTTTTTAAATGACACTCCATGAATAAGTATTCTGGTTCATATAGTAAAATATATTTAACAAGTAAAACTTCAGTATGCATGTCAACACCAAACAAGGAATTATTTATTGTGACATTGTCACAATGCCAGACTGCAATTTTTAATAAATTTAATATAAAATATATGCTCTTCACTCAAATTAGTAATGTCTTGCCCCTGTACATCATACTTTTCCTGTTAGCAATAGAGTCATGCTGATCATCTAACACCTTTCAGGGGAAATTTTTGAATTGAAATATCATGACTTCTGATTTGCATTGGAAGTTCTTATGTAGTTAATCAGGGCTTCTTATCCCTAAGGCTTCCATATCTGGTTTCATCTTTCATATAATTGTTTATGAAATTAAGGAAAGACGGATGGAAGGACAACATTGGGAATTTATAGGTCTACAATTTTTTCAAACTGCAGCCCAAAAACAATGTTGTCCTCCTCAGCTGGTTGATTAATTTACAATCTTTTTAACTGATGCAACACTAATATAATGGTGCTGTTTGTCAGTTAAAAAGATAGTAAATTAAAAACCAGCTGATAAGGAGAACATTGTTTTTTGTTGCTAAAATGCATACTGAAGTTTTAATTGCTGAATGAACATAGGCTAATATGATGAATCTATTGTTGGTTGTTTTGAACTAAATGTTTAATTAATTAAGTATTGGTATACAGGTATCCCTTGATTATAGTGGTTAATTAATCCCATAATACTATCACATATATCAAAATCACATTAATCAAATACAGTATATATATATATTAAGTAAAGACAGCTGTTAAAGCCACGTTAATTAAAACTTTTTCTACATATATAAAAGTATTGTCACAATCAATTTTGTGTTAATCAAATCCCGCATTAAGCAAGAGATACCTATATTTACATTTCAAATAGAAGTTACTTTTAGTTAATTTGTATATATTTTTATACATACACAAATTACCTAAAAGTGTCCTCTACTATAGTTTAGTTATTAGCATCATTACTCAAAATTTTTCATTTGATTTTTAATTTTTATTTTAAAATATGAATTATTCTGAGCCTTGTTTTTTAAACAATGGAAATTTAGAAAAATATTAAAACACCACACACAAAATATTTTCTGTTCCAAAATTTTTGAATGTTTTTTAATTGGATATACAGAATAAAAACAAGTACAGCCCCACCTTAGAGTCAATATACTGGTTCCTCAGCTACCAATAGCTCTAATGCTATGAAAGTGGTGTAATAAATATTTGTTAATTCTAAAGCTGGAACTATATTCTAAATACTAAAATTCACACCTTCCTGTCACTTTCCATCAATTTACTAATTAAAAAATATTTCTGCTATTTTGAGCATTGCAATCACTTTGCAGCATAAGTTTGGTTTGAGCATAGCCATAGTCAATCATAAACATTAGAAATTCTTCTAATATATGAAATTTTCTTGTTTTTAACCCAGATATTTCTTTTGTCCTTTTTAAAAGACTACTTACAAATACTATCTAATTCAGTTTTGAACAATATTTATTTATAAACTAACAGATAAGCCCGGCGTTGCTTGGGCAAAAAGTAATGATAGCAAAGATTAAGATTATTACATTATAGCCAATCTTACCCATTTTCACTGAATGGAAGAATTAGGTTCCCCCAGACTAATTAGAAAATTTTTAGATGGGTCTAAAAATATGTTCGATTTCTTGTATAAATGCAAAAACCTCATCTGCACTTGTAAATCTTGCATGTCGCTTTCTCTTAACACTTCCATTGTTAACACTTCCATTGCTCAAGCCTTTCCTCAAGGGGAAAATTTTGAAAAATCCCTTCTTAGTGTTTGTTCTCATGATGTACCCTAACTATGTACCAAATTTCAAGTTTCAACTCCTAACCACACTGAAATTCTCACGATGAAATGCTCATATACACACGCACTGCCTATTGTAGGATAAATGTACTATGCCAGAAACCTTCACGGAAGTGTATTAAACAACTTCCCAAAGTTTCATGGCAATCGGATAAATGGTATAGTAATGCATGAAGGATACACAGACATACATTTGTTTTTATATATATATATATATATAGATGATGATAATATTTATAATTCTATTAACTGTCACTTTTATAATTTTAGACTTTAAATTGATTAGATAGTTATTTTTTCCTCACAATTTGTTTTCATTTTTAAATATTTTTGGTAGTTTTCATTAAAGGTAAGAAAAGATGGTCAAAAAATTGTAGTTATGTCTATCCATAACATTATAAATATGGAATGCTTTCAGGATTCCCAAGAACTCTTTGGGTCAGGAAGAAAAGCGGTTGATGAGAATTATATAAATTTAATTATTGAAATATATAGAAATGTTAAACTAAATGTTAACATAGGATAGATTTAAAATGTTACATAAAAAGAGATTTAGGGTGGCGTTGTTGTTTATCAAGGTTAAGCCCATTATGTATATGTATTTGTATATGTATATGTATATGTATTAAAAATTCATATTAGGTGAATTATTGTAGTTTGCAGTGAGAAAGAGAGGACCTCAAATTAGTACTGTAGTGTCTTGCCCCTGTGCATCATACTTTTCCTATTAGCAATAGAGTTCCAGTCATCTATCTAACTCCTTTCAGGGAAAAATAGTTTTAATTGAAATAACATGACTTCCAGTGCAATTTGGAAGTTATTCATATATAAAGTTCCTGTCCCTAAGCTTTCTGTATATGGTCTTGACTTTCATCTACCTAACACCATTCTTGAGATTAAGGAAGGAGAGATGGACAACAGTGGGAATTTATAGGCCCACAATTTTTTCAAATTGCAGCCCAATAGATACTGTTGGAATATTAACATTGTTTACACAGTAGGACTTCAATTATCCAATGTAATATGGACTGATGCAACTTCAGCTGAGCCAAAACCCAGATGAAACAAATACTCATGGCTATTTCAGATATACAAATATAAAAGATTTATATAGTACAGTGAAACATACGACTCAGCAACCAATTAACCGGTGTGAATAATGTTTAAGTGACGAACATTTTCATTACCCTTCTGGACACTTCTTTGGGTCTTTTCTTAGATCAAAACCTGCTGGCTGTTGACATTCGAATATAAATCGAATGGTATGGATTTTGAATATGATATGCGCCTGCGTTCTCCATAAGATGTTTAAAAAAGATCGAACAAAAGGTTGAGTTAGAATGTAGAGAACTTCTGCACATGCATTTGCCTCTAAATATGATTGCAAATTAAATGTTGTCATCAAGTATAGCCTGCCATGCCATTGACAAACACATCTCCTCCCTACAAAAATTCAGAGAACAAATTAACTAGTGAAAAAAAGGTTATGTATACAACTGTGAATCTCGTTCCATAAACTATTTGTAGATATCATTAAAATATAGTTTTACAAATGTTAAATGCAGTGTTACTTTTTGTGTTTGTTTTCTGAGGTGTTCTTTATCTGAACATGTGTTTGTTGTTCAAACATAAAAGTCTTTCACGTAAGTGTACATTGTCCATTTTGTTTGCATTCCAAACTGTTAGTTAACCAATCACCCACTGTATATCATTTATAAGTCTCTTTTTACACCTTAGTGAATTAATCTATATATATATAAAAATGAATGTATGTGTGTGTGTGTGTCCTTCATGCATTACCACACCGTCTATCCGATTGCTGTGAAATTTTGAGAAGTTGTTTAATATACTCCTGTGAAGGTTTCTGGCATAGTACGATTGCCACGAAGCTTTGGGAAGCTTTTTAATACACTCCTGCGAAGGTTTCTGGCATTTATCCTACGATAGATGACGCGCGTTTACACGAGCATTCGAGCAGTGTGTGTTTGATCGATTTCAAATTGTGAAGACCATTTCCCCCTTCAAAAAATATCTCTATATATGCATTTGTGAACTGTTATTTATGATATTTGTAATAATTTTTGTTTAANACGCGCGTTTACACGAGCATTCGAGCAGTGTGTGTTTGATCGATTTCAAATTGTGAAGACCATTTCCCCCTTCAAAAAATATCTCTATATATGCATTTGTGAACTGTTATTTATGATATTTGTAATAATTTTTGTTTAATCACTTTATTTCAACTTTTTTTTTGCTAATTATGTATTTGCTGAAACTTCGTTAAAACCTTAACTGTACCCCGAACAACAACCGAAGTTGTAGGAAGAAATTCACATATTTTACCGATCTAGGTATCCCCCTTTTCCAAATTTTAATATTGACTCAAGATAATTTAAAAAGACAAATTACAATAAAACGGTTTATTATCCAACTATCAGAAATTTCATAACGTGCCAAGGAAGAGAGGAAGGAGCAATTAAATAATTAAAATTATAAAGGATTAAAAAATATGTGTATAAAAATGGGGAATATCGCACTTCTGACAATTGCTGCAAGTGTATGGGCTAAATTTGGAGAATCCATGCTTCTCGCATGGACAACTGTATATGGCCGGCTGACACGTCGGAAAACCTTTTGATTTATTCGTGTATGCACCAGACGGAAAAACAAAAAATATCGTGTATCCACAAACACCCCAATAAATAAATAGAATTGAAACGACACTATGAAATGTTTTCCCGATGAAAATGAGTAATAATAATAAGTTTCAATAAAAATGATAAAATATAAATTGAATTTTATCATAACGAGTTTGCTTGAATTTCCTTTCTTCTGAGAAGGAAAATCTAGCTTACCCATCGCGCATTGCTGCGCGATGGGTAAGCTAGTCATATATAGAAAGTATAATTTTTACATCATATAGCTAATGTAAGTACAATAGGTTTAAGAATAAAAATATGTTGTTATCGTTACATTTTAGTAGAATTTGTTTCACATTGAAATTAAATGGTAAAGTATAACAGAAATCATTTTGAAAAACATGTTACTGTTTTCAACTTGTTTTATGAATTACAGTAAGAAAAGTAGTATGTTCACTTGTAGCTTTGCCTTGGATAATCAGCACTCTACTGTATTTTTAAATAATTATCATAAAGTTTGTGTCTGCATTTCATTTAATGTTATAATTTTTAATATGTCTTGTCACACCATCAATCTAACATGTGGCTTTAGACATCAATTATTTTAATTGTTGTTTGCTTTCAGTTTATTAGTTTAAATTGGTGGTATTTCTTACTTCAGTAATACTTTAGCTATTACTAGAAGGCAGGCAAACAATATAAATGAGTTACACATTAACTAATAATAATTAACAAATCTTTATGTTATTTATTTTTAAATTATTTTAACATGTTTTTCTTGACAGATTCAACAAAACCAGACTTTTCATTAATTGAAGTTTACTTAGTGTTGTCAATCAGTTATTGTCATCAATATAAGTAAGTACCATATAATTACAAGTGGATTATATTGTATTTCATTAATGATTTTAATGCTAATGTGTCATTTTTTCAAATAAATGTAATTAAATATTGTTTATAATATTTTTTCTTTAATAATCTAAATTTAAACTACACATCAAATTAATTTTTTTCTTGTGAATAGATTCAATAACAAACTTTAATAATCTATCCTATGATATACATGGGTTGGACAAAAATATGCAAACCCCTCAAGAAATGCATAGTTGAACATAAATGTTGATTCTAGCCAAGCCTCTAGGTTGTGCTGTTGTATTTGACTACTAATGACACCTATGTAATCTCCTCAATATGTTGCACGTGTCAGTCATTGTTAGAACTGTGTTCTGTGTAGGTGGGAGTACACACAATGTCAGAGCTAAATGAATTTGAACGTGGGCAAATTGTTGGTGCTCGTATGGTGAGTGCTTCCATAACCAAGGTGGCCAAAGTGTTTGGTGTGTCAAGAGGCACCATATCGAAGATTTATATAGGGAAAAAACATCATCCACTAAATCACAACATGGACAAAAGTGTGTGTTGAGTGATCGTGACAGACGATCATTGAAGAGGATTGTGACAAAAAATAAGAAGACTACATCTGCAAAAGTCATTGCTGAACTGAGTATGGAGCTCACAAACCCTGTCAGCACCAAAACAGTTCAAAGGGAGCTCCATAAGCAGGGAATTTCAGGGCAAGCAACAATTTCAAAACCATTAATCAGTGATGCAAATGCCCATAAGAGGAAAATGTGGTGCTGGTCATAAAACCTGGACTATGGAGCAATGGAAAAGAGTCATTTGGTCGGATGAGTCTTGTTTTGCACTGTTTCCAACCTGTGGCTGAGTTTACATCTGGCGAACGCCATCCCAAGCCTATGATGCAGACTGTTTGCTGCCAAGGGTGAAACATGGCAAGGATTCGGTGATGATTTGGGGAGCCATATTGTGGTATTCCATAGGCCCATGATTACTCTGCAAGGTCACATTACTGTGATAATCCGAGGATTGTCTTAAATCAATTTATATTATTTAAAAAAATAATTTTACTTTAATTGTTAAAGAAATATTTAAAAAGGATAAAATTAGGAATAATTAATAGGACATAACCTAATAAGGTTATAAACTTCAACATCCTGTAAAAACTGCTATGACACGCAATCTGTAACAAGAAATGAGGATGTTCTCCACGCCTCATATCTTAGAATTTTGCACTCCATCTGGTCTATTGACACATTATTTCTGCTAATCATGATGATGCAGAAAAGGTGGATAAAAAGGCAGGTTTTGAGATACTCGTGGCAGTTCACCCCAGACAGAAGTGCCATGTATAGGCCGTTTAACAGAATCTGAACATGCCATAGGACCAGCCAGCCATATAGTTTCCTCCAGATGCTGCCTTACCACCCACACGAGGTAATATAATTCATTGTAAACCTCTCTCTCTCGGTTTAGATTAATTTAGAACCTAGAATAGTGAGATGAGATACTTCCTGTCTCATCACATCCTCTATATTCTCGATAATAAGGATTAGCCGTAGGTTAGACTAATGTTTGATGTTTTGTTGTCATATTATTTGTACTAGTTGTTTTGTTTTTCTGTAATTAAATTGTTGATGTTATATTATATAACGGTCGTAGTCAAGTATTCATTCCTTATGCGCTAACCCACACAGAATCTTACCACTCGGGTTCTGTTCAAAATTAAGCCATCCAGTGACAAAGTGAGCAGGTCTAACAGATCTGACGATTAGAGGGCCTGGACCCTCGTCCGTATTCTCACATATTGGTGTCAGGAGTGGGGTGTGCATAAAAAATAGACGAACCTGTCAAAGCGGACAAACCTGTTATTAAAGGACAACCTGTCTAACGTGGACAAAGGTCTTATTCGTAGTCTTATTAGCTATAGTATCTAAGCTTAGGCCTTAGGGTTAATTTTAAGTTACTTATAAGTAAGTATAAGGTTAAAGAGGGAAAATGGAGGGAGAACCTTCTAGAGGAGCCCCTGTGGCAGGAAACCCTTTAACTTTAGGAGGTTTAGGGGGAATGATACCCTTGCTTCCCGTATTTTCTGGAGATACTAGCGGAATTCGTATTACCGAATTCTTTGATGCGTTAGCTGATGTAAATAGAATAGCTGCCTGGACCAAGGCCCAGATGTTGGCTGTGGCCAGGTTAAAATTAACTGGTATTGCCCGGGAATTTGCTAGAAAAGATAGGAGAATTAAAGATGTAGAAGATTTTGAAACATTTAAAAAGGTGATGATAGAGCGCTTTGAACGAATTCCATATACTTATAGGCTACAAAAATTCTATGCCTGTGTGCAAGCACGAGATGAGGATGTACAAGCTTACGCTGTCAGATTACAGTCCTTAGCTGCCGAAGTAGAAATCGAACATGAAGGAGCTAGTGATACAGAAATAGCAATTATAAAGAGGGTCAAGGAGAAAGAATTAGATGAAAGGCTTAGAGTGCAGTTTTTATCCGGGATCGATGTGAAGATTAGACAGAGGGTAATGTCTAGAGATCCGGAGACATTTGATCAGGCTCTACAAGTAGCCATTAGGGAAGAAAGTATAGAACTATTGACATCCCGACCTCAGGGGTTCTTGAGGATAATAAAAGAGGAAGATACCCTTCATGATTCCCAAGATAGGGAGAGGTACATAGACAAATCACGGCCAGAAATAGAACAATTAATAACTGCTGTAAAGGAATTAAGAGCCGACTTCAATAACTTTAATAGGAATTATGCTCACAGTGGAAGACGGCAATGGCAAGGTGCTAGGCAATGGCATGGGCCATATCCTGAACCTTCTGTAAAGTCCCAAAGAAAGGGATATGATCACAGAACACATAAGTTGCGGAAAAAGAGATCAGATAAGTCAGCTGATCAAGATAATCAATTTTTCTCCAACCAGACAGAGGAAAGCCTATTAAAAAGAGATAATGAATTCTGGAAGGGAACACATTTTGCCATTAAAAATAAAGAGAGGGTAAAAGGTATTTATAACAGAAGTGAACGGAAATCATGTTTGCCTTATCAAACGCAAGATCAAGATAACCAGTTCGGTCCTAAACCGAAAGGGAAAATTACAAAAACCCCCATTATCCTCATCTACCTGGAAAACATACCTATCAAGGTTAAGTTGGATGAAAGGGCCAAAAGCACTCTTTTATCAAAAAGGATTACCGACAAATTAAAGCCAAAGGCTTTAGTGCATGAGTCTATGCCATTAAAATTAGAAAATACCCCAGGAGAAGAGATTTTAGTTAAAGGTATAGCGTCCCCATTATTTAAATTACGAGGTTATAAATTTATAAGGATGGGGAGAATTGTGGACCCTGTGGTAACCTCGCCGTGTGATGGTATCCTAGGCAAAGATATCCTAGAGGGGGAAGGAATAAAAATAGACAATTCCGATAGGAAACTAATATTGGCAAACGGTCGCGAGATACATTTTTGTTCACCCCTTCCACTTAACCGAAAAAGAAGACGTCGTCAAAGGAATAGAAGTAGGAACAAATCGACCAACTCCTCCGAAGAAACATCGTTAATTAATCGACCAACCCTTCGAGACAGCCAGCAGCCATTTCCGAATCAGGATGAGAAAAGGCAGAGTTGGATTAGAACAGTTCGTTCAGTACCTATACCATCGTATAGGAAAAATAGACAAGGAACTACTCTCACCCCTGAACCCCTAAGACAAAACAAGGAAACTGGAGAAGTTGAATCAGAGACAAAAACTTTACCAAGTGTTTGGGTGTCTTCTCACAGCAGGCACCATAGATCAGACGAACATAGAGTAGCAGTAAACCATAAGGCTACAGAGGCAAGCTTACAAGTTTGTCAGCGGCAAAAAGAGAAAATGGACGATGACCAAGAGGTTAAGAGCGAGTATGAGTATCGGCCTGGGGTCAAAGAAATATTACAGCAGTTTATACATTTGATGTTCTTCACTTTTAGTGTTATCTTAGGATTGGGTTATAGGATGATAATTCGACGATCCATTGTGGGAGTGAGAATGGAGAATTGCGCGGGATTAAAAATAGCAAGCCGAAGTCGCATTCCAGTCTCCACGTTTCTAAAACCAGCCGGTTATCCTGTATTGCCCGGATCTAGGGGACTCTATTCTGAGCCCTTGAGAAAGTTGAGTATTTCGAAAAAAAAAAAAAGAGATGATCCCGTATCAATAGCATCGAGATAGCTAATTTTTAAATATGCGTTTTGCAATAATATCATTAGCAAGCATAGATAATACTTATACCTGTAAGGGTATAGAGATAAGTTAAATGAACTTCTTTCCTTTGGGATTTGCTACGAATCAAAAATTCGGGCGAAGAAATTAGGAAATTAAGACAATAATAAAATATAATAATAATAAGATTAATTAATAATTAAATAAGATAAATTAGTTTAAGGGTAAGTTAGATATAATAAAAAATAAAGAAAGAGAGAGAGTGTCAAACTAAATATCCATAAGAATATAAGATTGTAACTCAAGAACTCGTTAAAATACCTCCAACTTGTGCGCCTCAGTGTTTCCCAAGAACTTATTGGTTTTAAGTGTTTATTTTCCAGTCTTAGATAAACTCTCCATAAACTGAATAGTGAGATCGAAAGTTGGTTGAATATTCGACCATTTCTAAGTATTTATGCAAGAAGAAGGGATTATGAAAGAAGAAGGAAGACCCTATAGGCTGAAGACTATCCAACTCCATCTCATCGTCTCACCTAGAGGACGACTTTTCGCTAGTAAACTGACCAGCCACGTCTGACAAATTATCAACTTCATAGGAAGCTATTGGAGTAAAAGAAGATAAGAACTAGAGACTACTTCCTCCTTCCGAATGAGGGATACAACTGTTCCTGTTGAAGTTAAATTGTAGTGAAATTAACTTCCTGCTGAAAGAATGTATTATTAGATTAAGTTATCACTTATATATATATATCTAATTGTTGTATTTTATTTACATG